ACACTAGAGTCCTAGACTCACATAACTCATCCATAAGACACAACAGACACGATGTTAGAATATCGGATGCGGCATCCTGCACATACTACATCAGAAGTAGCAAGCAATCATGTTCCCCCAAAAATGGAGATATGGGAGGCAACAACACTAGACTACACTCAAAAACCCTTTTCTCCCCCTTTTTAGACAAAAACTGACAAAAATAGAGTAAAAAGAAACTGACACAGAAATAACCAAGAGAAGACACACACCTGACTCAAAGACAACCGAGCCAAGACTGACCCTACTGAAGAAACAAAAAAAAACACCCAAGAGAACAAAAAAATAAGTCGCAAAACAAAAACACACCAGCCAAAAGAAAACTCCTTAAAGAACCTTCCTAGCATCAGCGTTTTAGAAGATTTACTCATGTTGAGACCTAGCTTGAGAGGGTGGTGAGGAAGTAAGGCCTTTAAATACAAGAAAAGTTACCTAGTTTGTAACGACCCTTGCTAGTAACAACACTCTAGTTACTGAGAATTTTCTTGGAAGAAAATAAAATCATCCTTAACAACCGAGCACATAAGAAAGAGTCATTATATGTTCCTCTTTCTCTAGTCCCGAGTTTTGACCATGACAATTCCCATGTCATTGAAACTGCTATCCTTGGACACACATGCACCAAAAAGAGAACACATTTTTTCAGGCCTTCTCAAAAACAGTGATAACTAGTCAATCTATTCTTATCATGCTGACAAGAGAGAAACTCTTGACAATTTTGACTGAACTAGCGTGTCATGATACAATGTCCTGACATTCTGATTGACATTGTAAACTTCTCTAGTTGGAGCACCAAACACCCTTTAATCTTGTCGATCCAACAAACAGGATTGATGCTCAAGAAGAAACAACCCAAACAGATCAAAGCAGAAACATTGTTCTGCACCAACTGAAGAAAACAATTGAATTCCATGAGTAATGAATTTAACAAGGCTCAGCTGAAAACCCGAACACAAGGTCAAAACATCATGTCTGACATCTCACATCCACCAACAGAACCTCCTTTGAGGCCCACAACCTTCTGCGGAGAAAGATAAATTCTCCCAGACACAAACAACACTGTTACTTGGGACATTCCAAGAATCATGACCAGCCCTAGAACGTATATCCGAGGCACATGCACAACAAAAAAAAAACTCACATATCTAGAACCAAAGCTACACTGTCAAGGCAAAAGAACACACCAGACAACACAATGTCACAACATCTTGTTTGACATTATAACCTCACCAGAGGTACAACAACACAGGCTGCATGAGAACATGCAAGCTTTATTCAGGATGCAACAATGCAACTATATAACAGATAAGTACACAACTCCCCCTGTCACAAATAATCAATACTCCCCCCTGAAGAGGAAAACAAAAAAAAAACACATGATCTCTCATGCAAGTTCATATGATAGAACAACACTACAAAATCACAAGCAATAACAAGCGCTAGGCACAAGCACACTCCCCTTGAACACCAAAACCTACTTAAGAGACATCAGAGATCCCTTAACGCTTCAGGTAGGCAAGATATCATGTATATTTGATTTGACATTATGCACCCAAATCACAACAATAGAGGAATATTTTCTCAAGTTCCCTTCTTCACAATCTCCCTCAGAGGTACATGCAGCAGAAAAGGCCACAACCCCACTGATAGTCAAAGCACCACAGAGATAAGAAGATTTGGCCTGATATCCTTCTTCTGCACACCACAGCATGAGCTAGCACAAATGGATCCTTCACCATGACAAGAAGTCATGTACACACCACAACCACCCTAGATATGGCCAGTAGCTTTACATCATACTCTACCATGATCAGACATTTCAAGTAAGTCTAATGGTGAGCAACAAACTCCACACCATGAACTTCAAATTGTCTCCCGTGTATAATCTGCTTTCTTTTCTGGAGAGATAATAAATTGAGATGATGTTCCAACATTCGTTCAGGCATTAGTCTCAATACAAGGGTTAAACCATTTACTTTGGTTTTGGAGTCAACACACATAGGAATTACTATCTGCATAGTAATCCACACACATCCCTTTGCAAGGGATACAAGAGAATTATAATAGGTCATAACAGCAGTTGATCAACTTTCAAGGACAGATTATAGACACTTACACCAACCAACACATCGCATAGAGAAATAAACATTTACACACCTGAAGAAGCTTCTACTCAGATGTACAATGTCCAGACATCCTGTCTGACAATACAGAAACAACAACCATCCTTATGTGCTTAAAGAGGAGATTCCCTCACAACCAGACTTTCCAGCATAAGTTTGTTTCTCCTCTGCCCCTCAATCTTCTATCCTTCAAGACTCTACCTTGGAAAAAATCTAGGGCAAGTAGTTCCTTGGGGCACACACAAATAACAACTGTTATTAGACACACCTTCCTCCATAAGTAACCAAGTAGAATCCCTTACACGAGGACCTTAATAATGGGAAACCAACATTAGGACTGAAACACCCAGTTCTAAACTCTTTTACTCCAGACAAGTGTCCGAAACACTCATACCAAACATCTTAGATGAGACTAAAAAAACAGCAACCTCCTTGAGCTTTAACCATTTCTTGATTCACAAAGGTTGAGGTGGACTTTAGAGACAACCAACCAGATACACATGCCTAATGAGACGATCTTTTAACAGGTAGAGACATCTTTAGTGCATACGTTGCCCATTGCATGAATATTCTGACGTTCAGCACAATGTTGAGACAATATGATCTAACGTCACCCCATCTTGAAAAACTCATCCACCACAATAGAACAAGAGTTATATATTCTCATAGACTTGATCGAGATATCAAGTTAAAAAAAATCCTTGATGACAACCTTTTTTTAAGCGCAATTCTCCAAGAGAAGCAACCAATTCATCCACACCAAAATCAGAGTCCTCAACAGAAACTAACCTTTTCAGTAAGGTCGTCACAAGATAGTCAAAAACAGCATCAAAAACAGCATCTAACAGATTGTTCCTACCTCGTGAAACCCTAATCTATTATCCTCTCTTATCTCTTTGTAGATTCCCATTGTCTTGAGATTGTTCACCTGAGTTGCTAAAGTCGCCATCTGTTCAATCAAAGTAGTTAGAGTCGTGGTAAAAGTTGTAATAATTCTCTCAAGATCTACTCTAGTCACCAGTTGATCTCCAATGTCCGATCAAGATACAAAAAGAAACAGGAGACACCTACTCTGATGACACATGATGTAGTCAGAATCTTGAAGGATTAGCAAGCGCTAAACTTAGAATGAAAGTATAGGTTTGCATGTGACAAACTTTTCAGATAAAACTATGGAATCTACCAGATAAAGAAAAGTACTGAATATTATTATGATAAAAGATAATTGTGACGGCCACACCCAAAAGTGTTTAAATAATGAAAATGAACTCTAATATTAAAAATATTCAAAAATAGAAATAATACAAAAATACAAAAATTATAAAAATAAATAAAGCGAAAAATTGCTAAAACTTACACAAATTCTACCGAATCTTTCTGAAGCACGAATTCTTCTTTAATTCGCACAATCGACCTTCTACATTAAAGCTCAAGCTAAAAACCTTAAGGAGCCAATATGCCATATAATGGGAGCATAAGAGTGGTGATGCGAGACATCATTGAAGATAAGAGTTTGTTAATTAGATTCATAAATAACTTTTATGTAGTTTATGTGACCATAACTCCAAGTGAACTTCAATCCCTAAGAAATCGCCTACAAGCTGCTCTTTGGGCCTCTGGCTGCCATTTCATTTGGTCATAGAGAAACAAAAAACTTCACGATCCAAATTTTGTGCATCCTTTCAATTAGGAGCAGGTTATTCGAAACCAAATTTCTCTGTTTAACTCTAGCAGGCTTCATGCTCGTAGAGTGCATATTGTGATCCCTAAGCCTCCTTCGAGTAAGTGGTGTCCCCACAAAGGTTGGATTTGTCATAACTCGGATAAGTCTAGTAAGGTTACTCGTGTTACTCGGTGTAGGCGTATTTTCTGGGACAATTATGGGCATTGACTTATAGGTTTTCATAAGTATCTTGACCATTGTAATAGCTTGTGGGCTTAGTATTGGGGTGTTTTTACAGGTTGGAGTTTACTCGGCAACATAATTTCAAAAATCTTATTTTTCAAGTGGACAACAAAAGCGTTGTCAATACTCTTGCTGGGTCTGGTTCTGAGTATAGTCAAGGCTTATCTCTTGCTCAGGCGTATCATACTTCTATCTCACCAATTTAAGGAGGTTATTTTCAAACATATTCCTAAAGACTCTAACAAGTGTGTTGACTTCTTGGCTAAAACGAAGGAGTCACCTTGTTTAGTGCACGACATTTGACTGAAAGAGTGTCCAATTGAATTTAATTTATTGTTGTTGGCTGACTGTGTTGGATCTGCTGTTGGGCTTGATTCTTAATCGGGCCTTTGCTCTCTAATTCTAAAAAAAAAATATTAATGTTCATTCTATTACCACAATTACCATCATGTCATTGTAAAAAGAAAAAACACAATAGTGTTATAGTAAACACTTGTATTTTATTTGAACAAGGACAAGATAGTAAGATCACGTTATCACAAGGTGTGTTTGGGATACATGCCGAATCAGCCCGTAACCCACTCAATATTTGGACTCGGAAAATTCTAGAAGCCCCATCTATCTATCAACAAATAAAATCAAATCTTAGGGTTTATCCTCTCACATTTCCCCCATTTTCCAAACCTTCCTAGAACACTTTTGATAAGGTACACTCTATGCTCCATTCTTCTTCTTTTTCTTCTGAACTGTATCTAGCGCAACTCGTCTTGCATCATAGAAATTCAATAGAACATACTCTAAGAAATGCATTGCGTCAAATTACTCTATTCCCTTGTTGATTTTCATACATGTTTTGTTATCTTCGTGGTTTAATTTCATTTTTTAATGGAAAGTTCATTTTTTTTTTGTGCAGTTAAGAAGATTACACTCCAATGGCGACCACTCAGCTTACTGCTTCATCGATTTCAACGAGGAATTTTTCATCCTTTGAAGGGCTTCGAACTTCATCAATTCAATTTCGTAGTAAGAATGTTAGAATTGGTATTTCCACACAAAGGTTGTTCCCGTCTATGGTTGTTAAAGCTGCCACTGTTGTTGCCCCAAAGGTACTTTCTTTTGATTATTTTGCTTATATTTGAGTTCTGGGTTGTTGATTATATCTGAGTGAACAATTTGTATTGGAATATTATTTTATGCTTGCGCTTTTTAATGTTATAACTGTTCTCTGAGGTTTTTATGATTCTGTTTAGTGAGGATATGTTTGGATTGATGGAATGTGATGTAACAAAATTAAATGGAGTGGTATGTAATTAGATTCCATTGTTTGTATTTGCAAATAATGGATGAAGTGGAATGGAATATGATGGGGTGTATACAATGACATGAACTAATTTGTTATGTTTCATTCCGTCAAATTATAATAAATACACAAATAATAGAATGAAATCTGTTTCATTCCGCTCCGATCCACTTCATTCCCATCATGTTCCTTTCTACTCTGCTCCGTTCTATTCCATCAATTCAAACATAGCCTTGAGAGTTTTACAATGCTGTTGATGAACCAACAAACATATGATTCCTTTCACTGAGAGTTTTCCTGACCAAGTATTCTTTCTAGTATTTTATCACGTGTATATTTTTTACAATTTCAATGCTACACGTGCCTGATTGGTTATTTCATCATGCAGCATACCTCACTCAAGCCACTAGGTGATAGAGTACTGGTAAAAATTAAGGATGCAGAAGAGAAAACTTTGGGTGGAATTATACTTCCATCAACTGCGCAATCAAAGCCTCAAGGGGGTGAGGTGGTTGCTGTTGGAGAAGGGAAGACAGTTGGGAAGAACAATGTTGAAATTAGTGTGAAGGTGATGGATGCCACTATCTTTTATGAAATTCTTTAACTCTCGAGTCTTTCTTTAATTTTGAATTTATGTGATGTATTTCATTATACAGGCTGGTGCACAAGTTGTGTACTCAAAGTATGCAGGGACTGAGGTGGAGTTCAATGGTTCAAAACATCTTATACTTAAAGATGATGACATTGTTGGTATTCTTGAAACCGATGAGGTCAAGGATCTTAAACCCTTGAGCGATAGAGTCTTGATAAAGGTGTGAAACTTTTCCATTATTTGATTATTCATATTGAGTGGGAAATGATGGTTCTGGGCAGTTATTTGTTTAAATCATATTTTGCATAAAGGGTGTTGTGATTACAGCTAATATGATTTATGCTTATCTTAAATGCTTTTTAATTATGATGCTGCAGATTGCAGAAGCTGAGGAAAAAACTGCTGGTGGTTTGTTGCTCACGGAAGCAACCAAGGAGAAACCATCCGTTGGCACCGTGAGTATCTCTCAACATTGAATTGCTCCAGTAGTTTTAGTGAGATTACTTAATAACATTTCTGTTCTGTTTTGGATGTTATAGGTGATAGCTGTTGGTCCAGGGTCTGTGGATGAAGAAGGCAACAGGAAACCGTTATCCATTACACCCGGGAATACAGTTCTTTACTCCAAATACGCGGGGAATGACTTCAAGGGCAAAGATGGTTCTGACTATATTGCTTTGAGAGCCTCAGATGTCATGGCAATTCTTTCTTAGTAATTAACCAATTTTTGTATTAGAGCCTAAATTTGTGTTTAGGGAAATTGTCATTTTTAGCTATGAGGCTTGAAATATAGTTTGATTGCTGCTCTATTCCTTGCACAATATGCATAACCTTTGTTATCTCTTGTTTTTGCATTATTGTCAATGGCTTTTCACCTAATCATGGTTTCATCTTTCAATACATACACTCATCAGCTGAATAATATGATTGTGGACAAGAAAACATCAACAGGTTTATAAGCTCAACTTGAAAGCCTATTCAAAACAGTGTAAAGAGTCCATCAATATGAATAGAGCAGTTAAATTTTCAATCTTTGGATAATAAAGAAGTAGAAGTAACCACAAACTAAAAGCATAATTTGCCCAAAACAAAAGATAGAAAAACTGAGATTTCTTCCTTCATAATGAACTTTAAAGAATTGACATGCATACTAATTGTTCCCATACTCACTAGATCCTCATTTCCTTATATAATAACTTTAATCATCACAAACTTTACATAGGGATGCAAGTAAAAATTAATCTCGCTAGAACCATCATATTATACAGTAGCAGCCTATACTGTTGTTCCATGCAAAAAAGTGAAATAGAAAACAGAAATCCTAGTCCAGAATTCAAAAGAAAGCTGACTCCAGAGTAGGATCTGTAACATTAACATTAAGATCTAAACTAAGCTTCTCGCCGTGTAAGACAGAAACAAAGTGTTCTTTCTTTCTATTTGAGATGGATAGTAGAAATGCCAACCAGAGGTTTTAAAGGTTTAAACTGGTTTTTCCACCACTCAATGAATAAGTTTACTGCTACAAAACGTCAGTATTTGATATCTTCATCACCTATTGAATGAGGCTGCAGAGTTATCATCATACTGTCCCCTCCATGCATTGCCACTATCTGCCCCACTTGATGCTTGATTTGGGATTGTAACATTACCTAAATCACCATCCAAGCTCATTTGCTGCACCTCAGCAGATGACAATATCTTTATACTTTGAACACAGCTTACAAATTCCCTGCAACAAATAATATAAGTTGAAGGTCAAGAAAAAGAAACTAAACTTGCAGAAATAGTAGCCTATACTACAAACTAAGGAAATAGCTTCTTACTCCCAAGGGTCATCACCAACAAGAAGAATGTCATTTTCATGATCTACATATACTAATTTCCAGTCAGTCCTTTGAGGATCTTCTAGTTGCCCTTCAATCCCAAACATTCTTGCCAAATCATACCGGAGTTCATCATACCCTTTGTAACGCGTGACGTCAATACATCTTCCGACAGAGCCACGCTTTTGAACCTACAAAATTTGAATAGCATTTGAATACATTAACTAAACAATACATTAACAGTTTAACACATTGCAGGCGATACTAAAGCATTAGAGGATGGTATTTAAATAGATGTGCAGCTGTCAAATGATTACAAACCTTAGTATATGTTCGCATTCGTGGAGTTTGGTTTGCCCGCAAGCCGTTGTTCAAAACCCCAGAAGTATCATTAATGCCAACATCATTTGAGCAACTGGGCTTAAAAAGTGTGTCTGGCAATCCAAACGATTGTGAGCTGATGTCAGCAGTGGACAGCTCGGTTTCAATGTCCCTTGGAGCACCCTCATAATTAGACAACAAATTTTGAAGATCTTTTTGAGAATCATAACCCCTTGAAAGCATGGTATCAGACATTAAACCATCAAGATTAGAGTCAAATGTCAGATTGTTTCTAGGGTTCGATTGGACGTCGCCTTCCATGCAGAAATTGGATAGTGGCAAACTCTGCTGAACATTGCCAGGATCCATACAGTAGGATGTTCCAGAAGAAGCTTCCAGCTGATCAGTAGTTATGCCTTTATACTTTAGCTGGTCAGATCCTTTTACATTCAAGAACTCGTGTTTGATATGCATGTCAGACTTACTCTGAAGGTCTTGTATCAAATTACTGGCAGGCTCTGCTACCAAGATCCCGCCAATTGTAGCTGGTACTTGTTGATTTCTTTTCAGGCTGTTTGGTTGAGATATCTGGCAGTTATTTGTAGATGGCGAAGTTGAGCATGATGGAGCCTCTCCATCTGTAAGTGTAGAGGGAACTCTTGTAATTGTGAGTGGCTTCTGCGTATTCAGGGTTTGATTCACAGAAAGCTGTTGTGATTGCATAAGAGATGAAGAAGACAGATTGTTGCTGTTAAGAAGCTTCTCCGTTGAAAATGCATTATTGCCAAGCTGTTGAGGATGATGTTGGGATATAGGAAGCTGTGGTAATTGCTGGCTTTGTTGGTGAGTATTTTGTTGTAGAAACTGAGATTGTAAAAGTGGGCTAGAGGTCGAAAGAAATTGTTGCTGCTGCTGCTGCAATTTGTGCAAAAACTGTAGCTGCAACTGTTGCTCTGAGGTGTTTTGTTGAGATATTTGAGCCACTGGAAGATTTGGTGTCACCCTCTGTTGCTGGCTTTGTTGCAATACCTGCAATGGGGATTGTTGTAATTGTGTCTGTTGCTGCTGCCTTTGTAATAGACTCGCTTGTTGGTCTATCTGTTGCTGAAATTGTGAGTCTTGTGGTAAGGATGTCATTGGGAATGTATTCTTACTGGCTGATTGGATACTTTGCTGGAGTGGGATATTTCCTGGGAGTAATTGTTGTTGTTGCTGAAGTTGAGCGTAAGTTACCGGTTGCTGTGCAAACTGATTTGAAATCTGGTTAGAAGCAATTACACCATTATTCATAATAGCTTGTTGAGACGATTGTGGATGTTTCTGTGGCTGCTGTCCCAGCTGCTGAGTCATTTGTTGCTGTAGCAGTGTCAGGTTTTGTGATTCAGGCAACTGCTGTTGCCTCTGCTGCTGAAACTGGTTCATTGGTATTTGTGACAATGACTGTAGCTGCTGTTGTTGCTGCTGTAACTGTTGTTGCTGCTGCTGCTGTAACTGTTGTTGTTGCTGTAACTGTTGTTGTTGTTGCTGCTGCTGCTGAGGCCATGATGTTGGGGATTGTTGCAATTGATTGATTTGATTTGGTAAATTAGGTTTGTTAAATTGATGATTTGGCGCAGAGAGAAGTGGAGTTTGAAAACTTAATAATTTGGATGGGTCATCGGTGCTAAGATTACCATGGAGAGTATTAGATGAGAGCATGGGTGGAAAACATCCTGATTGACCACCTGAAAACTGATTATTCTGCTGCATGCTCATCCACTGCACTAAACTCAAACCAGGGAAGCCTGAACTTGAGGCGTCCTTCATGCCAAATTCGTCTCCAAGCCAGGGCATAGCTCTCTTGAAAGCATTTTCTACATCAGACTCATCATCTGCATTGATCAATGACAATGAGGATACCAAATTAAATGAATGACTGACAGGAAAAAAATTTCAATGAAAGCTTAACTAATTAAGAGCATAACTCTTACTACCTGGCATTCCAGGTTGCCTTGGGAACTTTTGCCTGAAAAATGGAGGTGGACAAATATAGAAAGGAGTCACTACTGGCTCAACATCCCAAATCGAAACTCTGCTTGGACGTTCACCAGCTGTCGATTCATCCCATCCAATCTGTAATTAGTTCAAAAATAACCACCTCAATAATAAAGAAGTTAAGTATTATGCAGTAAGATAACTACTAAATACTACACCTTTTAATAATACCTGAAGATTGCGCCATTGTGAATTTTTCCATCGGACAGGATCCAAGTCACTAATTCCAGTAACTGTACCCATATATCTACGGACTCCAGACTCCTCTGTTTCAAACATCATTCTAAATCTCATTCCAAGAGAAACTTGGGCGTACATGGCTTTGTTATACTTGGCCAACGGAATAACAAATTCTGAGGGGCTCGCCCTGTTAAATTGACCAGTTTCTGTAAGAGACTTGTCACAAATATTTCAATGAATGCCACTCCATGTCGTGTATGACAATACATACATGTCAAATCGTACCTTGGATTGTAATATATAGTAAAAGGACTGTTATTTGCAGCAGCATGAGCTGCAGCAGCTAAAATGCCAATATGCATACTGTCACTGGATATCACTGATGAAGAAAGCGCTGGCTGCTGTCTATTAGCACGCCTCAAACCCAAAAGAAGTTGCTGCTTTTCATCTCTAAGAGTGATCAACAAATATTTGCTTAGAAACTGAGGTTCGAAAGTTTCCTGAAATTCCAACACAAAAGATATATATCTTACCTGATAAAAAGAACAGAATCTCCGGCAAAAAGTCTTTTTGTGCTGATAAATACACTCCAACCAGTAGTCAATAAGTGTCTCTTTGGTTGTCCTGTAGCCAACGTTCTATCAATTTCAGCACTCAAACATCATAAAAAAAGTTGATAAAAACTTGGTCAAATCACTGAAAGATGATTCTAAAAGTGGCATTACCCCGATAAATATGTCTAAATGCCCATGAATTGTCATGCAAATCTTTAGCAACAAGCTCCTGAGCAGGAGGTTGCATTGAAAAATCCTATAAAAACACATAGGATCAGCATAGACAAGCTAAATCCAGATGCACCACATAAACCTCAGCCAAAATTTGCTAACATGAATCCATAAAAACAATAATGTTGTATACATACCAAAGGTGGGAATATTTTCTCAGCAGCTCTACGAGGAACAGAAAATCCACCATGAGTACTTGTGTCACTAGCTGTTAGAGTCTTGCAAAAGAATTCGGCTGGTTGACGGTTTTGTTTGAGACCAAAGTCTGATGCCAGTATTGCTTCCTTGTCATACTGCAGAAGAGGAAAATGAGACAATCTTTGGTACAGTTACTCATCAATGGCTTGAGAGGATGTCAAAGATAACTAGAGAACTAAATCATGGATGCAATAACAAATTCTCAAGTTGAACAGCTAAACCTACTTTGGTTACAGGTTGAAGGGTCATCTGTGCATAGACTTCGTCGGTTTCAGGATCAGCCTGCTCCAAAATAAACAAGAAAATCAATACACGTGGATAAAATTCTTCTTCACAAGTTTTCATTATTGCATAACAGCCGTGTTCCAAGCAGATAGCTCAGTTGGTGAGCCGAGAGATCAAAGGAGTACTGACCAGAAGGTCTAGAGATCGAACACCGGAAACTAACATAACCAACTAATATTGGTCGATAAAAAAAGAAGTGGAAAGTGCACCTACATGCAGGGCAACATTGTGAAGCATGCAAATCAACTTGGACGGAAGGTTAGGGTAACTAGGTATGAAGTCAGTCTGCTTTTGCATGGAAGCTGCAACCTGAAAGTTACAATAGCAAAAGGAGAATGTCATCAGCAACCGAAATACAGAGAGTATAAGTCACACGACATTCATGCATTTTGTGGTTTAAGAAACATACTTGCTCACTGTGTCCTTGAGGGAAGTAAACCACAAGACTTCCAACAGGTGGCAAGGAAACCAAAGGTCCGGCACAAGCATGCCATAACTCTGAATTGATTGTCTTCCTTTCCCCTATTGTCGAAACAAACATAACGTTACTCATTTAAGGAGAAATATAGAATTATGCTTTCTCTTTATTGTATGGTTGGATACAAAGTAGAAAAAAACTAAAACTATAGAATCCATGTTTTATAAAACACAAAGAAACACATAAATTCAGGAAGAAATATCAAGAATACAAATAAGCGGAGTTCGTCAGTGCTAAAAAATGAACAGATCTTGCAGTTTTTTAGTGGCATATTATTATCACCAGTAGATCCCACACCCATAAAGAATATACTTTAAGGTCATAAAATTCAGATGAAAATCATTTTCTTTCTCAAATTCGGACTACATACAAATCAGCATCAGATTCCCGCAGAAAGTTACTATCACACAAACATTAAAATGCTTTTCCTTCTTCCAATGAAACTTCGACAGCAAGAATTAACCTTTTTCTTTCACAATTTGCCATATTGTTACTACACTCAAAGCAAACCAACCAACATAATATGCCGATCTTCCAATATACGTAAACAACTCACACACAAACGTTATCAAAAAGAACATTAGACTTTTACCTCAATTCAGAAGAGAATAAAGTGTAACAAAAAGCAAAATGAGAAGAAAAAACATACAAGACAAAGGAATAGACCATTACTCAAATCATAATAAAAATTAAATATCATCCTAAAAGAGGCCAAGAACTATAGAAAAATAAAAGTAAGGATCATCAAAAAGAGAGTTGAGATGAAGAAAAAAAGCTATTATCATAATTTTTCAGATGAAAAATTGGCCACTATTGCCACCCATTTATTGATCATATGCTCACAACTTTCTCATTAAAATAAGCTATTAAATCAATTCAACAACATAAAAGTAGCATCTTCCTTGAAAACAATCTAAGTAACTAAGCAAGGTCATGTTTGATTGTGAAAAAAAAAAGAAATTGAAAAACAAAAACAAAAAGCACAGAGATAGAAAGAGAAAACCCACCTTCTCCAGAAGTAGGCAAGAAACCATTAGGTGGAGCCTTCATTACAACCTAAGAAAACTCCAAACAAGATTCAAACAAACTCAACACCTAGTCTTTTCTAGCACCAAGATTTAACCTTCATACCCCAAATTTCCCACACAACAAGACAATAACACTAATCACCAAACACTTTCTACAACAAAACCACCCCACTAATATCCAATGGAATCAACAAAAAGCTGACCCTTTTACCCTTTTCCCTGAAATGCAACTAATTGCTAACTCCACAACCAGGAACACAACACAACAAAGTTTAAGGATTCAAGCCACAGAGTATAAATGCCTTGTCGTAGTTGGAGAACCCCAAACACCACACTTTCAGGTTAAATCATAAAATCTGTGCAGAAAAAGAACAATTTCAATAACAGCAAAAACCAAACAATAGAAGAAAAAACAAGCAAAAGAAACATAGTTATGAGATCATAGAAATAAAGAAACAACCTTTGGGTAAGAAAGTAGTGTTTTTTGTGGAGATTGAGAAAGTAGAAGTTGGGATCAAAGAAGAGAGAAGAACAAGACAGGTTTTTTTGTTTGTGTTTGTAAACTGAGGAAAGCTGACTTGAAATGAATGAAATGAAATATGGTTAAAATAGAGACACATGGTGGTGATAGTAGTAGAATCATTAACTTTGGTTAATTACGTTAATTAGAAATTAAAATTGCTTAATTAACATGCATAGTTACATATAGTAGAAATGTACTCAAGAGTAGTAATTGCTTTGACACAAGAGTGGTTGTGATTGTAAAACTCTTATATTTATAGTAAAGTTCGCATTTTATTTTGTGGGTTTTCTTTTTCCATTAAAAAAACTTTGTGGTGTTTTTTTATATATTTTTTATAAAGTTAATGTCTACAATGGACCATCTTCGTATATAAAAAAAGACGGTTAGAAATTATAATGATGATAAAAAAAATATAAAATAATAGATTGTCACTCTAACCATCTTTATGGAGGGTGGAAGAATAGCTTAACTTATTTGAATTACTTGAGTTAAATGTTAAAAGAGTTAGAAATCATGAGTTCAATCTCTTGTATGAATGATAATATGTTTGAATAGGATCAGTGGCGGAGCCAGAAAAATTATATAGCCTGGGCAAAAAAATTTAAGACCGCAAATTCACATTATAATATATAAATTGCCTAAAATAAAAGAGATGAAAGAGATCATGAAGCATAATCTTACAATAGCATGTTAAATAAAATTATGAGGCAAATGTCCTTTTCGAGACTTCTTTGCTGCGAATGTTCGAATAATATCAACATCATCAAGTGATTTGAATATCTCCCGCTCGGTGTAACATACCATCAAGTCATTGAACCACACATCGTTGATCTTATTACGCAATTTAGACTTGATAATCTTCATTGCTGAAAAAGCTCTTTCAACGGATGCTGTCGACACCGGCAATATTAAAGCTAACTCAATAAGTTTGTAAACCAATGGAAATACCAAATGTTTCTCAGTTTGAACCATCTTTATAGCCAAACTTTGAACATCTTCACAAGTGGAAAATGAAGCATTTCTTTTCACTTGAAGAACATAAGTGTCAAGTTGATCCCTTATTGTTCCACGGTCATCATCAGAAAAGTCTACATGATAAATATCAGCAAGACGAGCAAGCTTATCAACATCAAACTTGGAGAAAGAGTTCTTAGGATCAAGACATGAGAAGCAATCAAGGATAATGTTACTTCCTTCACTAAAGCGGTGATCCATCTCCACACATATTTTATCAATAGCAACATAAAAAATCTCTGCACGGTAATGATGAAGATTAGTGATAGTTCTTCCTTCCACCCTTGAACGACCCCGAACCGGTATTTCGTCATCCATATTTGGCACCAGAATACCTTTAGCAACACAAAATTCTTGGACATCAGCAAATAAATCATCTCAACCACTATCTCTCATTGTGGCCAACTGAGCTTTAACAACATCAACTAATTCCATGGCAATCAAGATATTAAGATATTTTCTTTGTAAGACATGTGAAAGCTTGTTTGTAATACCAAACAACTTTAACATTAACTTCAAAATAAAAGCAAATTTAAAGCTCTCCATTTTTTCTATCAAACCTGCTGCTTGAGATGGTCCACGTCCATCTTCATCAACCATACTAAGCACATTTAACACGGAGGACCACATTTGATCCAAACGAAGCAATGTAGTATGATGTGAACCCCATCTAGTATCCCCGGGTCTAATGAGACTAGATGATTGGTGCAAGCCCCTTCCTCTAAATATCTCACCACTCTCAAGTTTATTTAAAATATCTTGGTGTTGTGCCTCCGTCAAAGCATCCCTCTTCTTACAAGATGCACTTGTTGTGGTCACAATCAAGGAGATGTACTCAAAGAAATCATGAATAGATGAGCAACTACTAGCAACAGACACAACAACCAATTGCAAACGGTGAGCATAACAATGGACATAGAAAGCATAAGGGTTTTCATCTAGAATCTTTCTTTGCAAACCATTAAATTCACCTCTCATATTTGAAGCTCCATCATATCCTTGGCCTCGTATCCTTGAAATAGATAATGTGTACTTATCAAGAATACCATAAAGAGCATCCTTTAATGACTCAGATGTCGTATCTTTGACGTGATGTAGAGCAATAAATCGTTCCACAACATTCCCTTTGTCGTTCACAAACCTAAAACAAATTCGACAAGTTTAAGCATAAAGAATAATAGGTAATGAAAATTAGAAATTGGAAAATACAACTACTAACCTCAACATCACCGCCATTTGCTCTTTGACGGATATATCACATGACTCATCAATAAGCACGGAGAATTGTCTATCACCAAGCTCTCCCAAAATCACCTTGGTAACTTCATGTGCACAACACATTGCAAGCTCCTTTTGAATGTCACCGGAAATCATTGTGCAATTTTTTCCACCACGGTCAAAAGCATCTTGCACTTGTTCATTCTTAAGTTTTACCCAATCTACCATCTCTCTAAAATTGCCCTTATTTAGAGAAATAGAGGATTCATCATGGCCACGGAAAGACATGCCTTGTGCAATAAGATATCTTGAACAATCTACAGAACAAGTTAAACGAATCTTATACAATTCTTCTGATTCCTTGGTTGCTTTAACAAACTTACTTGCCACACTTTGTCTTTGATTATTGTAATCGTCGTAGTGCTTGACACATGAGTTGTGAAAACTATTATGACTACCAACATGATCTTTCAAGCCTTGAGATGCATGCTTCCAATCTTTATATCCACTTTTAGTGAAGACTTCAAAACCAAAGTGCTCGGCCCTCCCGGGTTTCTTAAAGAGAAAACAATAAAAACAATAAGCTGCATCCTTGATCTCACTGTATTCTAACCATGTATAATTCTTATACCATGATTTACTAAATGCTCTTTTAACATTTCCAAATGGAGTACGAGGAAAGCTTGGCAATTCTGGTTGCATTGGACCTTTCAATATATATGCCCTCCTCACTTGATCTTGAATATCCGAAGCATACTCATTAATTTGTTTCCTACGACCTGGATCACGCACAATTTCATTTGGGTTAAACTCATTAACCACATTAGGCGGAGGTGGTTCTGGTTCTGACTCAACCAAAAATCTCCTCATCTCTGAAAAAAAAATCCGAACAAAATTAAACAATAATACTAAAATCATCAATCCACAAGCGATAAAATACTAAAATCATTACTATTTAACAAATAAATAATACACAATAAAGTGCTAATATTCAGTCAAATGAGATTGCACAAATAATACACAAATAATATTCAATCAAATGTTATTACAAATAATACGGTAATATTCAGTCAAATAATACACAAATATAGTTTTTAAATAATACACAAATAATATTCAGTCAAATAATACACAAATAAATCATTACTATTTAACAAATCATTACAATATAGTTTTTAAATAATACACAAATAATATTCAGTCAAATAATACACAAATAAATCATTACTATTTAACAAATCATTACAATATAGTTTTTAAACTCCAACAAAACATACAGTAATATTCAGTCAAATGTTATTACAGACTCCTACAAATAAAATTAAACCATATTGAAAGTGCTAAATTGCAATCATCCTCTAATTCTTTTTCTACACAGAACTTGCCAACATTTAGTGGGAATTAACCAACTACATTCAGAAAACTCTATTCATAATTCTCTAGATTCATCAAACTCAACATCATGGATCTGGTGTACACTATTTAGAACACTGTTGCAAATGTTCAATAGCTGCAAATGTTCAATAGCTTTATGTATCGTTGATTTCAATAGCTCTATTCTTTTTTCCCAAAAGCAGCCCGCATCATTATCCCACATATTCCGCGAGATTAACAACAACAGCTTCACTGGCAGATTTTGGCTATTATGAAGAACAGACTATCATGTATGGCACCTCACCAAGTTTTAGGTGCATCAAAGGTCCATATTTCTCTGCCAATTATTTGAAACAGTGGTGAGGTAGTGAGGTACTATACATTATAGTTAGTTCACCAGAAATGGCCAAAGAGCAGTACCACTGAACAACCAAAAACTCAAAGGCTGCAACACAAAAATCAAACTTTGGCACTTATTAAATACAGAATGATTTCATAGAAGATGTGGGGAAAGAAATTCAAAAACTGAAACACATATATAGATTAAAAACAGCAGTTCAAAAACAGCAGCGTGCGTGTCAATCTGTCGGCATTTTCATAATCAAACACAATAACATTTATGAACCTCATTGAGGCATTTTCACAAGCAGCTTGTAGGCTACAACATGAACATTTATAACATATGATAAAGGCACATTAACATCTATAATAGTCTATACTATTGTATATAACTATTATTTTTTCCTCACTGAGACATTTTCACAAACACCTTGTGTGCAGCTAATGTTTACCGTAATGGAATTGAAAAAAATGTAAACATTGATTCAGTCAATTTGTTTATGGGTTAGTGCCATAAACATTACCTCAATCTATTCACTGCTGAAATGAAATTG